TAATTCTTTTTTTTTTTTTTTTTTTTTTTCTTTTTTTTTTTTTGACAGGCAGAGTGGACAGTGAGAGAGAGAGACAGAGAGAGAAAGGTCTTCCTTTGCCGTTGGTTCACCCTCCAATGGCCGCCGCTGCAGCCGGCGCACCGCGCTGATCCTGGCAGGAGCCAGGAGCCAGGTGCTTTTCCTGGTCTCCCATGGGGTGCAGGGCCCAAGCACCTGGGCCATCCTCCACTGCACTCCCTGGCCATAGCAGAGAGCTGGCCTGGAAGAGGGGCAACCGGGACAGAATCCGGCGCCCCAACCGGGACTAGAACCCGGTGTGCCGGCGCCGCAAGGTGGAGGATTAGCCTATTGAGCCACGGCGCCGGCTTCCATAATTCTTGAAATTAAAAAATTGGAAGAATGTATTCTCATTTGATCATTTTTCAGATAGTTCAAAAATAAATTTAAAAAACTTTACACTCAGTCACTAACATAGTTTCTTATAATATTAATGAACAGTAGCATGATGGCTTAATTTTCCTAATTTCTCTATTCCTCCTTTTTTTAAACTCTGCACTCGCATTTTCCTGTCTCTGTTCCCTATAGTTTTCCCTGTCAGGTAACCTAACAAAATCTGTTAGTTCTCAGAGTTTGTTTGCATTACACTTTTTAAATTCCTAAATGTTTCATTTATAATAACTTTTTGGCCAAAGGAGTCTCACAGAAGAATTTACTAATGGGAAATCCTGTGTTAGTGACTTAAACAGATTTTACAAATCTATGTCCTTCAGTGACACTTTCGCAGCATCATCTTCCAAGAAATTTAAACTTGAGTTCGCTTTCAATCGTGCCAATATCCAAAGAAAACTCCAAAACATTTGCCAATGTACCAAGTGTTAAGAAATTAAACTGAACCATCAAAACTCTGAGGGTAGAAAACCAGATCCTTCATCCCACCTTTTACCTATAGACTCTTTCCACCATCATTCCAGAAACCTGGGTTTCAAAAAATGTGCCAGGACCGGCATTGTGACATAGCAGGTAAAGCCACCTCCTAAGACGCTGGCATCCCATGTGAGTGCCGGTCCGGTTCAAGTCCTGGCTGCTCCACTTCCAATCCAGCTCCCTTCTAATAGCCTGGGAAAAACCGCAGAAAATGGTCCAAGTACTTGGGTCCCTGCTATCGATGTGGGAGACCCTGATGAAGCTCCTGGCCCAGCCCAGGCCATTGTGGTCATCTGGGGAGTGAACCAGTGGATGGAAGGTTGGAAGATTTCTCTCTCTCTCTCTCTTTCTCTCGCTCTCTTTCTCTCACTCTCTCCTTCTTCTCTTTCTGTAATTCTGACTTTAAAATAAATAAATCTTTTTTTAAGTGCCTACAATCACTGGACAGGAGAATTTTAAATAGAGAACCATACATGAAACTGGTAATGATGATCCACAGCAGTAGCAGAGTCATCCTAGATTGAGATCGTACCATATTACTCACAGTTTGCTAAATTGACTACTTTATTTAATCCTCAAAGTATGGATTAGGTGTTAAAATGAACCAAAGTAATTTCTCCATATTTTATCAGTAATTGTGATGCATTTCCATTCTACTTTAAATAATCCTAAGAATGACAGAGAAAGTGTATTGAAGAAAGTCCAAGCTTGGAAGTTAAGTTCAATACAGTTAAACTCATTTTTAAAGTACATTGTGTTAAGTGGGCCACTCACTAAATCATTCTATGAAAAAAAATATGACATGGTCTGATATTTACAATCCATCATACAGTCATACACTATAGCAAATTCTTATTCAAAGACTATTATCTTTGAACACCATAATGAGATACCATGCAGTTGCATCTAAATTTTTTACATACATATGTGCTTTTTCTACAAAACTTGTTGGAGATTATGTCCTAAAATATTCTGATTCTTTCAACTCCTGTCTCTTCAATATAACCTTATCCATACAACATAAGTAAAATTTAGCTTTATCCACATACTAGATAGAGATTCATCTCAATCAGTACTTCTTTTTTTTTTATTTTTATTTTTATTTTTTGACAGGCAGAGTGGACAGTGAGAGAGAGAGACAGAGAGAAAGGTCTTCCTTTGCTGTTGGTTCACCCTCCAATGGCCACCGCGGCCAGTGTGCTGCGGCCGGCGCACCGCGCTGATCTGGTGGCAAGAGCCAGGAGCCAGGTGCTTTTTCTGGTCTCCCATGGGGTGCAGGGCCCAAGCACCTGGGCCATCCTCCACTGCACTCCCTGGCCACAGCAGAGAGTTGGCCTGGAAGAGGGGCAACCGGGACAGAATCCGGCGCCCCAACCGGGACTAGAACCCAGTGTGCTGGCGACGCTAGGCGGAGGATTAGCCTAGTGAGCCGCGGCGCCGGCCTCAATCAGTACTTCTTATGCTTAGAGGATAACAACGTATTTGCAGATTATGCCCAAACACAAACATTTCACAGGTCACTGAGATACGCTGATCACTCATGGCTCAAATTTTATAATGTTTTGTATTTTACTCAAATATTTCTTTAATATCATATGCATCTAGAAAATCCATATGTTCTGAGAATCTATTCTCTTTTCTGCATTATTGCTATTTTTGTAAAACTTTTTGCAGGTTAGTGATAAAATGTTAGTGCTTCGGCTCTATTTTGATTAGCAGATATGACACTCAATGTTTAAAACTCTCAGTCTAGTTGACTTTCCCTCCAAAGTCATATATAACCATTTGATTTTTATTCACTTGAACTTCATTTATATTCTTTGTCTATTCAGATTGTTCTTCCTTTCCTAGTTTTCTTTTCTGTGGTATAACCTATGATTATTTTTTAAAGATTTACATATTTATTTGAAATTCAGAGTTACAGAGAGAGGGGAAAACAGCGAGAGAGCTCTTCTATCCATTCGTTCACTCCCCAGATGGCTGAACAGCCAATACTGGAGCCAGGCCGAGGCCAAGTGCCAGGAGCTTCTTCCAAGTCTCCCAGAAGGGTAGCAGCAAGTGCCTGGGTCATCCACTGCTTTTCCCAGGCCATTAGTAGGGAGCTGTATTGGCAGTGGAGCAGCCAGGGCATAAACCA